ATCTGTCCTGCCTCTCCTGACCAGAAAGGCATGAAGCTGGCCCATTCCAAGGACATTTCTTTTTGTTGGGACAGCCCCAGCCCAGAAGATCTGTAACTGGATTTTAAAATTTTAATTAAGTAAAACAATCTGTATAGGCACACTGGATGTGTTGCTAATCCTAGGGTCTGGGCCTGCTGAAGTCAGGGCCCCAGCCTGAGTGCCCAAAGCAGCATCGTGCCCCGTCCCCGCCAAGGGACTCGTCTATTTTGGGAGCCTGGCTCTGAAGCCTGAGTCTTTTTTTGGGCACATGTTTTCTCGTAGGAACACAGCCAAGTTGCTGGAGAGTGAGCAGAGCCCAGACATGTGGGTAAAGATTGCTTCAATAAAAACTGTCCGAAGATTCCAGACACAGCCACTCCTCCAAAGTAGTACTAGGAGGACTGGTTCATTCATGGAACCAACGGTGGGGTCTCAGCCATATTCCATCCAGCAGGACACCATCGGGCAAAAGGGAGACTCCTGTGACTCAGTCCCTCATGGCAGAAGTGCAGAACCTGAAACAAACTTTACCTTCTTTGTCCTTGTGTTTTCTGGATCAGAGAACTCTGTTTCTTTCTCCTGCCTGCCCATTGATTGAGGGCTTTCTTCCATGCCCTCCTGTTCCTCTTTTCCAGCCTTATCAAAGGAATAACAGAGCAAACCAAATCAACAGTGAGCAGTGACAGGGAGAAGAAAAAAAGAATGATACTGAACGCAGGTTCCAGCTGTTCAGATGGGTTTCACATACAGCATTTGTTTCCTTTATCCTCCCAGAACCCCTCAGATGCAGCTGCTGTTATCATCTTTATTTTATAGATTAGAAAACTGAGGTTCAGAGAGGTAAAGTAATTTGCTTAATCACAGTCACACAGACAAATAAAGGCAGAGAAATATCTTGAAACCTGGCCTGATGTCTTTAAGGGGCTGAAATCCCTGGCAAATTGTGTATTTTCTTTTTTTGCGGAGTAGAAGTAGCCAAACTTGAACTGACTTGGACCGGACAAGACCTTGGTGTTAACCATCATGGTGACATTTCCCCAACAGAGTCATCTTGGCTGTGAAAAAGTCATCCAGGACACTTATAGGCAGAAAGTGCGTTATCACCCAATCAGAGTGCCCTCACACCTTTCTTTTGCCCTCTGTCCTGGAATCATAGGCCAGATTAGCACCCCCTTTCCTCCTTCCTTCTATTCTCTTCCCTCAAATAAGGACCCTCACAATAGTGCCCATGTCTGTGAAACTGAACAATTGAAAGCAGGTGTTTTGTTTGAGAATTAGGGCCTCTAACCAGCCTTGGAGACAGGGGTCAGAAAACTACAGTCTGCAGACCAAGTCTGACCTGCTGCCTGTTTTCGTATAGCCTGTGAGCTAAGAATGAATTTTGCATGTTTAAATAACTACATTTTAAGTGATTATAGAAGTGCCTACATAAAATCCTCAATTTCGCCTCTTGGCCCACACAGGCTAAAATATTTACTATCTGGTCCTTTGTAGAAAACTTTGCCAACTCCCATGTTAGAATTTTCTGAGGGATATTCTCCCATGACTTAAACTTTGACTACCAAATCAATAACTACTCCGGGGCTTTCTGGGGGGCAAGCTGCAGTTCTAGGACATTCTTGGCCGAGGTTGGTTGAAATAAACTACTCTAGTTCTGATTTCTTACAGACACACCCCCTTGAGCTTACTAGGAGCCAGCTGGAGCAGAAGCTCAGGGCTGACTGGTTTCACCAGTTATTACCGGACAGGGACAGGTGGTTCAGATCCTCAAGTCCTTTCTCTTTCCAGTGTTTGGTGTGGGAGATTCCACGGATGGCTTTGCTGAAGTCTACTGTGCGAGCCTGAGTGTAAAGCAGCTACAAACACATTTTTGGCTATTATAGCTTCCACCAACAGGTGACTTTATTTTTAATCTCCCTGTGTCAACTATCCATGGCCCTCTCTTGTCAAAATAAACAATCCTTACCCTTCCCAAGCAGTTCCTGCAGCCACACTCCCAGATCAACACAGTAAAGGGACCCCTTCCAGTTCAAGTTGGGAGAGGCAGGGACGGTCTTGCCAGCCGGGCTGAAAGCCCTCCACCAAGCAGACCCCTGCTCTTCCTCCCTGCAGGCAAAGGAAACAACCTTTCAGGGCTTCCATTGCTTGCTCTGGGATCACTTCCAGGAGAGAGCAGCAGCTTAAGGGGAATAGACCCTTGCAACAGGTGCCCCCAGCTGCCCATACCAGCTCACAGACCGAGACGTTAGGTGCCAACTGTTGCAAGCCGGGCTCTGCCGCCCCAGGGCCCGGGCTACCGAACCACTTCCAAACTGGTCTCCCACTTCTGCTCTGTACCCTCTCCCATATTCTTCCCAAGGCAATCAAGAATGATCATTCCAAAGTGCAAAAATGATCACATTCTCACTGTATTTTTTCTTTTCTTTTTCTCCGAGATGGAGTTTTACTCTTGTTGTCCAGGCTGGAGTACAATGGCGTGATCTTGGCTCACTGCAACCTCTGCCTCCTGGGTTCCAGTGATTCTGCTGCCTCAGCCTCCCGAGCAGCTGGGATTACAGGCATTTGCCACCACGCCCGGCTAATTTTTTTTTTTTTTTTAATTTTTAGTAGAGACGGGGTTTTACCATGTCGGTCAGGCTGGTCTCGAACTCCTGACCTCAAGTGATCCTCCCACCTCGGCCTCCCAAAGTGCTGGGATTACAGGCATGAGCCACCGTGCCCGGCTTCCTCACAGCATTTTCTTGCTTAAATACTTCATTTGCTTCCCCTGGTACTTAGGATAAAGACAAAAATCTTCAGTCTCCCTACAAGACCCTGCATAGCACAGTCCCTGTTGGTAAGGCGGCCTCGCCTCCTGCTACTCTAACTCCAGCTCTCTGCTATGGCAACGCTGGAGCCCTGGAACTGCAAACGGGCCCTTGTGCATGCTGCTCCCTCTGCCTGCTGGCTTCCTTTTCACCCAGTCAGTACTCACCATTCCCCCAAATCTCAACAGTCACAGCCCCACCCGGGAAGCCTCAGACTGACAACAGGCACTCACAGCATTGTGTGCCTTCATCTCCTTCTTAGCGCTTCATACTCAGGCTCGTCTGTTCATTTGAGAAATCACTGGATTAGCATTTTTCTCACTAGCCTGTGAGCTCCGTGAGCCCAAGGGACATTTCAGTGTCACTAACTGTGACCCCAGCACAGGTGCTCAACAAATATTGGTCAATATAAGAATGAAATTGGTAGAAGGAGGTGGGGTGAATGACAAGTTTGCACCTGTCTTCCCGCAAGGCTGGATCTTGTCTAGGCTCTGAAGCGAGTGTAAGGGTTTTAAAAATCTTCTCCTCAGCCAGGCGTTATGGCTCATACCTGTAATCCCAGAACTTTGGGAGGCCAAGGTGGGTGGATCACGAGGTCAGGAGATCAAGACCATCCTGGCTAACATGGTGAAACCCCATCTCTACTAAAAATACAAAAAATTAGCAGGGCGTGGTGTCACATGCCTGTAGTCCCAGCTACCCAGGAGGCTGAGGCAGGAGAATCGCTTGAACCCTGGAAGCAGAGGTTGCAATGAGCTGAGATTGTGCCACTGGCACAATTTTTGAGACTCCATCTCAAAAAAAATAGAAAAAAACCCTCTTAGGGATTGGTTATACCAGGGGTAACATTCTGGGGCTCTTGGACAGCATCTGGTCAACAGGTATGTTTTGGTCTGTACTAGACGTTTGTCTTGCTCTAAAAAAAGGGAGACATTTGACAGCGTGGCATGCATTCCTGTATGGTGGCCGTAGAACGGAGCTGAGCGGTGGCTCCGGCCCCACAGATGGCACAGCTTCCTCAGTCAGCCATGGTCCCATCACGCTGGCCTGGCTTCCCTTCCCTAGGGACCTGGGCCTGCCGCCCTCAGACCCCCAGCCCAGCAGGATGTAGCGGTGTTTCTTCCCCAAGTTTTCCTTATCTGTGACTTGATTTCTTTCCTCCTTCTGTGGCCAGGACTGGGTCTCAGGTATGGATGCGGCCATCCACGACCACAGCACGCACACTGGCTTCTCCACCAGGGGCACTTTCTCCAGACAGCTCAGGATTTTTCATGAACATGAGTTCTTTAAAGTACTACAATAGTCTTGTGATCACACCCATTTTACAAACAAGAAAACAGGCAGAAGAAAACAGGGTGTGACCTGGTTCTCAGGAACCAGGCCTTTGCCACCTGTTGTCTGACTCCTGGGGAAGTCCTCTGGGGTCTGGGCTTTTCTCAAGTTCATCATACAGAGTTTGAGGACAGTGCAAAATATTCTCTGTTCTGCTGTCATTCCAACACACAGTGTTGGACCCCTGGCTCCAAACCTACAGAAACATTCTGTGAGAGGCCCCAGTAAGTCCTTACTGACCCCACTCCAGGGCTGTAAGAGGCAGAACCAACTTGACCAACAGAACTGTGAGGAAACCCTTGGGGCTTTCTGAGACTCTTTTTCCAACAGGGGCTCTGTGGATGACACATAGTGTCACCTTACATGAGCAGTGTTATAGAAGCCAATGAGAGCAGGATGGTCAATCCCTAGGAGGAATCGGGTGGCCGGAGCAGAGTCTCAGGAGTGTGAGTAGAAGCGTCGGGAGCAGCTCCACCCCCAGCCTTGGGGGACAGAGGGTTGGCAGGCTGGCGGTAGCCACATGAAGCCCAGGCTTTCCTTGAGCCCCTGCCAACTCTTGCTCTCTGCCCATCACCCATCATCAGCAACTTGGTCACCTCCAAGCAGATACACTTTTAAAAATGTCCACTGGTTCACCAGGTCCTTTGAACTGAGTTCAAGTCCTTGGTGAAGCACACTGTGTCTTCCATGAGCCCACCTCACCCTCTTCCCTAATCTCATCTCCTGTGCTTCCCCCCGCTGTGCCAGTTGGGACAAATTGTGGCCAACTCTGTAATGGGCGAAAAAAAGATTACCGGTGTGCTTCCACTGGAATGCTGGGCATTCGTCTAGCACATCCTTTCAGGGTGTCTGATTCTATACGAGTCTGTACCTTTCATTATGTTGAACTGAGCTATTTTACAACTGTATAAGTTGCATACAAATGATTCTTGTTCCTAGAAATGCAAATGAATTGTCTCTGCTGGAGATGCAACTGATTCCCTGCCCCTGTGGAAGGGGCCACTTTTACACCTATTAGCAAATTCATTTCCACATTCCTGATTGCCTGCTCTTTGGATTCTCTTTTGAGTTGGTTTTTGGATCGTATGATGCCCTCATTAATTAATGAGTTGAATAAAACCTTTGACATGTATTCATTTGCACCAGAGTCATGATTTTATTCTTTAAAAATTTTATCCCTAATATGCCCTAAAGATGCAGCCATGCCAAATATCTCTAGATTCTTCAGAAATAGTCTTTCTTTTTCACTTTTGCCCTTGCTGCTGCTTCTAACAAGAACCCCGGCTGGGCACAGTGGATCATGCCTGTAATCCCAACACTTTGGGAGGCCGAGGTGGGTGGATCATGAGGTCAGAAGTTCGAGACCAACCTGAGTAACTTGGTGAAACCCCATCTCTACTAAAAATACAAAAATTAGCCGGGCATGGTGGTGTGTGCCTGTAATTCCAGCTACTACTCAGGAGGCTGAGGCAGGAGAATCACTTGAACCCGGGAGGTGGAGGTTTCAGTGAGCCAAGACCACACCACCTTACTCCAGCCTGAGCAACAGAGTGAGACTCCATCTCAAAAAAAAAAAAAAAAAGAGCCCAAACTGCTTTTTCTGCTTTTGATACTCAGGTCAAATGTCACCTTCTCTGAGCAGCTCTTCTCCTATCCCTGTGCACAGTTAATAATTGCCCACAAAGCAGCTCATCCGCGGTAAATGCCAATGTGAGTCCTACTGTATGCAAATTATTTTTATATTAATAGGTCTGTTTCCACCACTGGTCTTCCTTCTCTGCTGTAACATGGACTGTGTCCTATTCACTTGTGGCTCGCCTACACCTAGCACACCACCTGGCAAAATGGCACTCCATCTATTCATGTGGGAATGAATGCTGAAGTAGGATCCAAAAAGTTGACTCTTTAGTGTTCATGCAGTTGAGATTTGGGCTCCTTATTTGGGCTCAGTGTTCTCACCAACTCCCAGGTCAGAATGACTAGAAGATATGTGTGGAGGCTTTTAAAAATCAGGCTCCTTATGCAGACTGCCAAACCTCACTTATCCCACCCCTACTTAAATACAGAAGGCTCTGGCAAGAAGGAAGTATAAGCCAAGTTAGAATCTAAACCTGGTACCCAGGATCCTCTTTGTGACACCCCTGTGTGAACTGAAGTACTGATACAAGTCCTCAGACTTTTCAGATGCTGGAGTGAAGGTGCCAGCCAATTGCCATCCTTTTTCTTTTTTTTTTTTTTTTTT